CCACGGACATTCCTCCCGCCACGTCACGGCAGCTTCCGGCCTCCAAGCGCGGGTCGGGGTCGCCAGGTCCACCCGGACGCGCCTCCGGGGACGCAGCAGCAGCCCCGCTTGCCGCCAGGGGGAGCCCAACCCCAGACGCCGTCCGAGGCGGTGCAGGCGCCGGGGCTTCTGGGAAGCGTAGTTCCGCAGCGGGGCAGGGGCGCGCTCTGCGCATGGGCAGTGCCGGCTCCTTTCGGGCGTCGGCGTTTTGTCTCCCGCCCCAGGGGGAGCAGACTTCGCAGCATCCAGGTCTCCGCGGTCCCGCAGAGGGCGGGGCTTGGGCTCGGAGCGGGCTGGGAGCAGAGGCCGAGCCCCTGCAGGTGTGTCTTCGGCCTCCGCGGGCGGGTCGGGGCCGGGGAAGCGGGTCTCGGCACCGGCGCGGGAGGCACCCGCGGGGGCACCCGGCCCTGGCGACGAGGCCGGCCGTCTGCACGCGCGTCCCTCTCCAGAAGCTGTGTTTCCGCGACCCGCCTGAGGGGCAGCCCGAGGAGGTCTGGGGCGACCGGGACAGCGGGGCTCCAGGAGCGAGCGGCCCCGGTGACGTGCCCGGCCCGCCGCGTTGGGCCGCTTGTGACGCGGTCTGGAAAGCCGCGGGCCTGGCTGAGGTCCGGCGTCTGCAGACGGTGTCAGTGCGTCTCAGAACTCATCTGCGACACGATGGTGGTAACCTTCAGGGTCGCTTGTCGAATCGAGTGGGGTGGTAGTTGTGGAGCATGGTAAGGGACTCAATAAAGGTGAGCAGCTTTTACTATGACGAGGCATGCTGTGTTCATTCCTGGCTCACTGAATCGTCATACCATCCTCTCCCTGCGACCGCCTCCGTTTTAATAAATAAGTCCGAAACCTTCAGCGGGATTGGTTTGCCCGGTATTAGCAGGTGGGACTTAAATTCTCACGTGTTTTACTCCATCCCGCGCTGAACGTGTTTGTGTTCTTTCCCACGCCAAAACCCCAGGTGGGGCTTGTATTTAGCCCAGCAGTTGTTCTTGAGCACCCAGAACACCGTCGTGGAGTGTGCCGAACCTGATCTTTCATTAGTGTTCTATTTCCGGAAATGCCTGGGGAGTCCTCAGAACCCGTGAGCCAAAATGTTGTTTCAGGCCATCCATCCAGCAGCCTCCAAAGTGTCTCTGTCTTCTCAGAGGACTGTTAATCGTGCAAATTGAAACCACAATTTGAGCCCTCAGTTTTAAACTTTACTGGAGAAGCTGGGAGTCCTATCGAGGCCAGAGGCTTGTTTCTAAAGAGGGGAATGGGGCAGATTTTTTTAAAAGATGAAAAGTGCAATTTATCCATGCTCCATGTTATGTTGGTGATATCTGAGCTTATTAGTTAGGCATTTTGTGAGCACCAAGCTGGCTGGAAGTGGTTTCTGCTGTTTTTTGTTTATTTTTTAGATTTTTTTCTATTTTTTTATTGATATGTCATAATTGTACATATTTATGGGGCACATGTGATATTTTGATAGCATGCATACAATACAATGTGTAATGATCAAACAGGGTAATCTGCATATCCATCACCTAAAACATTCATCATTTCTTTGTGTTAGAAACATTACAAATCTATTTTGAGATATACAATAAATTATTGTTAACTATTGTCTTCATACTGTGCTACCGAACACGGGAACTTATTCCTTCTTACGTAGCCCTGTTTTTGTACCCATTGACCAACCTCTCTTCATCGCCCCCTCCTCCCTGTCTTCTCCCTTCTCTGGTAACCATTCTACTCTTTATCTTCATGAGATCAACCTTTTTAGCTCCCATGTACGAATGTGAACATGTGATATTTATCTTTCTGTGCCTGGCTTATTTCACTTAACATAATGTCCTCCAGTTCTATCCATGCTGCTGCAAATGACAGGATTTCCTTTCCTAGTATTCCACTGTGTATGTATACTATATTTCTCTTATTCATTCATCCGTTGATGGACACTTAGGTTGCTTCCCTATCTTGGCTATTGTGAATAGTGTTGCAGTAAACATGGGAATGCAGATATTTCTTTGATGTACTCATTTCCTTTCTTTTGACTATATAATCAGCAGTAGGACTGCTGGATCATGTGGTAGATCTATTTTTTGGTTTTTGAGAAACCACCATACTGTTTTCCATCGTGGCTGTGCTAATTTACATTTCCACCAACATTTGTTATTTTTTGTCTTTTTGATAATAGCCATTTTAACTGGGGTTAGATGATATCTCATTGTGGTTTTGATTTGCATTTCCCTGATGATGAGTGATTTTGAGCGTTTTTTTATATACTTGGTCATTTGTATGACTTTTGTGAAATGTCTATTCAGATCATTTGCCTATTTTTAAATTGGATTATTCGGTTTTTGCTATTGAATTGGTTCCTTATATATTCTGGTTATCAGTCCCTTGTCAGATGGCTAGTTTGCAAATATTTTCTCCCATTCTTTATGTTATCTCTTCACTCTGTTGGTTGTTTGCTGTGCAGTGTAAAGTTTTTTAGTGGCGAGGAGAAAGATAGACAGGGGGTGGGGGTGGGGGGGCAAACAACGTGGCTTTATTGAGTGCTCCCGGGCGAGGTTCACAGGTCCCCAGAAACGGGGCCAGAGAAGTCGCGCCCATTTGGAGGGGGCTAGGGCTTTTTTTTTTTTTTTTTTTTTGAGACAGAGTCTCACTCTGTTGCCCTGGCTAGAGTGAGTGCCGTGGCGTCATCCTAGCTCACAGCAACCTCTAACTCCTGGGGTCAAGCGATCCTCCTGCCTCAGCCTCCTGAGTACCTGGGACTACAGGCATGTGCCACCATGCCCAGCTAATTTTTTCTATATATTTTTAGTTGTCCGATTAATTTCTTTCTATTTTTAGTAGAGATGGGGGTCTCGCTCTTGCTCAGGCTGGTCTTGAACTCCTGAGCTCAAACGATCCGCCTGCCTCGGCTTCCCAGAGAGCTAGGATTACAGGCGTGAGCCACCGCGCTTGGCCAGGCTAGGGCTTTTTATGCTGCCTGAAGCGGGTTTGGGGATTTTCCACTGAGGCTTTTGGCAGGTTCCTAGAAATGGAGTCTGCTGCACAGTCCCAGGAACTGAAACTGCCTGTCTGGCTTATCGTCCGTGTTCAGTTATTTTTGGTGGGCACAGTCGGCTTCTTCTTTTATAGCTTTAGGGAGGGGTGATTTTTGTAAGAAATAGGGTCTAATTTTACTCTCCTCCATATGGATGTCCTGTTTTCCCAACACCATTTATTGAAAAGACTGTCCTTTCCCCAATGTATGTTCTTTGAACCTTTGTTGAAAATGAGTTGGCTGTAAATGCATGGATTTATTTCTGGGTTCTCTATTCTGTTCCACTGCTCTGTGTGTCGGTTTTTATGGTAGCACCGTGCTGTTTTGGTTACTATAGCTTTGTAGTGTATTTTGAAGTCTGGTAGTGTGATGCCTCCAGCTTTGTTCTTGTTGCTCAAGATTTTTTTGTTATTTAAGGTATTTTGTGGTTCCATATGAATTTTAGGACTGTTTTTTCTATTTCTGTGAAGAATATCATTGGCATTTTGATAGGAATTACATTGAATCTATAGGTTGTTTTGGGCAGTATGGGCATTTTAACATTAATTCTTCTAATCCATGAGCATGGGATATTTTTCCATTTTTTGGTGTCCTCTTCCACTTATTTCATCAGTGTTTTATAGTTTTTATAGTTTATAGTAGAGATATTTCACTTATTTGGTTAAATTTATTTCTAGGTAATTTTTTTTGTAGCTATTATAAATAGGATTGCTTTCTTGATTTTTTCAGATTGTTCACTGTTAGTGTAGAAATGCTACTGATTTTTGTATCTTGATTTTGTGTCCTGCGACTTTACTGAATTCTTTTGTAAGTTCTAACCGTTTTTTTGCAAAGTCTTCAGGTTTTTCTAAATATAGGATTATGTTGTCTGTGAACAAGTATAACTTGACTTCTTCCATTCCAATTTGGATGCCCTTTATGGTTTCTGCCGCTTATGAAAAGGACCTCAGGATTAAGCCATCTGGTTGTCTTTTGCTCTATACACAAAGTACCTGTTTCGGAATTATGGCGCCAAACTATTATTTTAGATGTTGTATTTGTGTCATAGAACAGATTAGATGGCCACGTCAGAGTTCATCAAGATCTAATTAAATTTTACCTTAGGCCCAGCCCAAGTTTCGAGGGTACAGTGAATTCCAGGTACCCTGTCTGGATTTGTGGCTCTATGTGAAGACTTGTAGAATCATAATGGCACATGAAGGTTTGTTCAAGATTATCTCATTTCTCTTCATTTTAAAAATACATCATTGGAACTAAGACAATCACTAGGTTTGTTAATAGCAGAGCCTAGGGTAGAACTGAAGTCTCCAGGTTCGCTGTATCATATTTAAGTCAGAGAAAGGTTCTTGGAGAAGTGGTTTTTGTGAAACTGCAATTTAGGGAGAAGAAACATCTTATTTTTGAGAACTTTGAAAAAGACTTTACAACTCTGTGGGGTTTATAATATTCATAGGAAAAATTATGATATAACTGAAAACAGCTTTTATATATTCAATAAATATGTCTTTCAACATCACTTCTAATGTCAGCATAGGGTTCTATACTTTGGATATGTTAACACCTGCTTCTTAATAATCTGCTACTAGTGGATATTTGTTTTCATTTCTTTTATATTATTCAGTAAACAGACTCATAATTTTCAAGACAGCCAATAGGAAAGAAATGTTTAGATTCCCTCAGAAATGTCCTGGGTTCATCATGATTTATTTGAGAGTCACCAATGTACAGGTGGGTACTAGTGTAGGAATTCCTTCCTAATCCTTCTGATGGGTCATAGGGACATTTTCCCAGAGGTATGTATCTTACTAAAATGTTGTATGGAAATTTCTCACAGGTGATTCCTGGAGCTGCAAGATAAGGTCTCTTATGACTTCTGTCTTCCAACTTCCCCTGCTCTGGCTTCATAGTTTCTACCCTTTCCCAAGAACAGCAGAAAATGAACAAGTTCCAGGTGAGTCATTTATTTAGCCCTTACTTCGTTTCACTGTGCGTGTGCGTGTGTGTGTGTTTAATGAATTTTACTAAAGAGAGTCCATAGGACTAGAAAACTGGAAATAGTTAAAAATTGCCTTCAGGGAAAATACTGTTTGAATAAAACTGCAGTTCTCAAAGTGTGGTCAGCAGATCCCTCGGAGCCCCAAGACCCTCTCACGGGGTCTGCGGGGTCCATACTCATAGTATTAGCAGGTATTTGCATTGATGGTATGAAAGCAATGCATAGATCGCTGCCTGTTTGGCATGAATTAAGACAATGACACCAATACTAACAAATGTGATTTTTTAAGTGTATTTTATAATAAAATGTCAACATTTGAGTAATATTTCTAAGGTATGTGCTCAGAGACAAACTCAGCAATTTTTGAGGACAGAGCGGTACAAATAAGAAAGGAACAGGTTATAGGTTGATTAGGGAATGACACTCCAAAACGTAATATTTGAGGAAAGTCCTGAATTAAATGAGAGAGGGAGCAAGATAGAAATCTGGGGGAAGAACATTCTAGGTAGAAGGAACAGCAAATACAAACATTCTCAGGCATGTTCTAGAAACAGTTTTGAGGACATTGAAGCTAGGGAGAAGTGACTTAGGGAAAGCATGATAAGAAGTAAGATCAAAGAGGAAAGCCAGGACACATAGGACCTTGTACACTGTGGAAAACTTTAATTTTATTTGTTAATTTAAAAATTGGCTGGGTGCAGTGACTCATGCCTGTAATCCCGGCACTGTGGGAGGCCAAGACAGGAGGATCACTTGAGCCTAGGAGTTCAAGATCAGCAACAGCAAGATCCCATCTCTACAAAAAATTTAAAAATTAGCTAGGTGTGGTGGTATGTGCTTATAGTCCCAGCTACTCAGGAGGCTGAGGCAGGAGGATCACTTGAGCCCAGGAGTTGTAGGCTGCAGTGAGCTATGATGAGGCCACTGCACTCTAGCCTGGGCGACAGAGTGAGACCTTGCCTTAAAAACAATTAAAAATCCTTCTCTTTATACAATCAAAAGAATGTACATAATGTATATAATATATGTATGATTTAGGTGATATTTATAAAGCAAACACCCGTATATCCCCTATCTGGCTTAAGAAATGATAATTCCTAGTACCTTTGAAGCCCCTGTGTGCCCCTCCTCACTCTCATCCCTACTATCACCCAGAGAAAATGAATCCTGAATTCTATGATAACTATTTCCTTGCTTTTTTAAATTTAATTTTTTATAAACAAAACAACATAATTGGCAATTAATTAAACACCTAACCCTCTGGTAAGCACCTGACATTGTTTCAATAACCCTCACGACCACCTGTTGAAGTGTTATTATTACTGTGTCAAATTTCAGTGTCGACACCATCTGCTTGTCTTCAAAACCACAGCCCCTGGGCATCTTGGTAGAGAGAGATCTCTAGAAATAAGGAGAAAAATGTAGGAGGAAGTTCAAACAATTTAACCTATTCTATAGTTCTGCTCCAGTTGATCCTGAACATAATTCTGACTTTTATGTGAAATTCTCCTTATCCAAAATTCACTGGAGAGTACACATGATATTTTCCCTGCATTATGCTCTGTAACTAATTGCTGAATGGTCTGGAATAGTAGAAACGACGAGTCAGCCTTTTTATTTTTTGAAGTAATTTTGAGTGCAATTGTCACTACTGACTCCTGGAAAAGTTTACCTGATGCAGATCCTCAAACTTTTTGTTTGTTCATAGCCATTTTGGCCAGATTAGATCTCCTTTGCATTCTTTCTTATGTCTCTCAACTTCTACTGGAATAAATTTCTTCTGTTCAAAAACATTCTTCATAGTTACTGTTATTTTGTTTTCGTGAGGATCTGCTAGTGAAACCTTTCAGTTTGTTTATCTAAAATATTCATGAAGAACTTTTTCATGGTGTATGGAAGTCTTGGTTGGCAGTTTTCATCCTTTAAAACATTGAAAAGCATTCACTCTCTTCAACTATTGATGCTGTTGAAAGTTCACTTGTCAATTTGCCAGACCTTTGAGGCAAGTCTATTTTGGGCTAGCTGCTTTTAAGATATCTTTTACTCTAAGATATTTGTGTGTGGATTTCTCTTTACCCCATTGAGATTTATTTGTGCTTCTTTGGGGTTGAGTATTTGAGTGTTTTGAGTATTACACTCTATTTCCTTTATTGACTTTTAAGCTGTACTTTTTTGTGGTGTTTGTTGATTAGCCTAGAGATTATAATATGCATAACTAACTTATCACAGCATCTTCAAATAATAATATACTTATTCATGGACAATGTAATAAACTTTCAGTAGTATTATCCTATTTACTTCCTTTTTCACCCTTTGTGGTCTTTGTCTCGTATCTCATTTCTCATGTATTTTAACCCCAAATACTCGTTAATTTTGCTTTAAACAGTTATTAATCGTTAAAAAAATCTATGTGTGTGTATGTAAATAAAATAGCATGCATATATATCCTTCAGAGGCTCTTTATTCCTTCCTACAGGTCTGGGATTCTCTGGTCGTATCTTTTCCCTTCAGCCTAAACAACTTATTTTTATCATTTCATGTACTCAGGACTCATGGTGACAAATTCACTTGGCTTTACTTTCTGAAAATGTCTTTATTTCACCTTGATTCTCTCTTTTTTTTTTTTTTTGAGACAGCATCTTGCTCTGTTGTCAGAGCAGGAGTACAGTGGCGCCATTATATTAATAGCTCACTGCAACCTCGAACTCCTGGGCTCAAGCAATCCTCCTGCCTCAGTCTCCCAAGTAGCTGGGACTAGACTACAGGCATGTGCCACCATACTAGCTAATTTTTAAATTTTTTGTACAGACAGGGTCTTGCTATGTTGCCAGGCTGGTCTCTAACTCCTGGCCTCAAGCAATCCTCCCACCTCAGCCTCCCAAAGTGCTAGGATTATAGATATGAACCACTGCACCTAGCCCATTTTAACCATTTTTTAAGCTTTCATTTTTTAAGCTTTTCAGTGGCATTAAGCACATTCATATTGTTGTACAGCTATCATCACCATCGATCTCTAGTGCTTTTTTCATTTTGCAAAACACTTGTTAATTGCTGAGTTATTTGGATGATAGCCATCCTAATGAGTGTGAAGTAGTTTTGTTTTTGTTTCATGTTGTGTTTTTATTTTTATTTATTTTTTAACTTTTTAACTCGGCATTAAACAACTCCCTATACTCTCTTCCACCAGTCCCTGGCAACCATCACTCTATTTTTTTGTCTCTATGAATTTGATTACTCTAGCATCTCGTGTTAAGTGGAATCATATGGTATTTGTCCTTCTGTGATTAACTTATTTCACTTAGCATGTCTTCAGGTTCATACATGTTGTCACGTGTCAAATTTCCTTTGTCTTTAAGGCTGAGTAATATTATATTGTTTGTATATACCACAATGTGGTTTTTTTTTGTTTTTTTGTTTTTTTGAGACAGAGTCTCACTGTGTTGCCCCGGCTAGAGTGCCGTGGCGTCAGCCTAGCTCACAGCAACCTCAAACTCCTGGGCTCAACCAATCCTTCTGCCTCAGCCTCCCGAGTAGCTGAGACTACAGGCATGCGCCACCATGCCCGGCTAATTTTTTCTATATATTTTTAGCTGTCCAATTAATTTCTTTCTATTTTTGGTAGAGACGGGGTCTCGCTCTTGCTCAGGCTGGTTTCGAACTCCTGAGCTCAAACGATCCGCCCGCCTCGGCCTCCCAGAGAGCTAGGATTACAGGCGTGAGCCACCACGCCTGGCCTATATACCACATTGTGTTTATCTGTTCATCCATTGATGGACACTTGGGTTACTTTTCACCTTTTGGCCACTGTGAATAATGCTGCTATGAACATGGATACAAATATCTGTTTAAGTCCTTGCTTTCAGTTCTTTTGGCTATATACCCAGAAGTGGAATACTGGATCATATGGTAATTCTATGTTTATTTTTTTTTTTTTTGAGGAACTGCCATACTGATCTCCATAGTGGTTGCACCATTTTACATTCCCAGCAGTAATACACAAGGTTTTCAGTTTTTCCACATCCTCACCAATACTTGTTTTTTTTTTTTTTGAGACAGAGTCTCATTGTGTTGCCCAGGCTAGAGTGCTGTGGCGTCATCCTAGCTCACGGCAACCTCAAATTCCTGGGCTCAAGCGATCCTCCTGCCTCAGCCTTCCGAGTAGCTGGGACTACAGGCATGCGCCACCATGCCCGGCTAATTTTTTCTATATATTTTTAGTTGTCCAAGTCCAAGTTGCTTGGCAAGGAGAGAAAACAAAATTCACTTAATTCTTAAAAGCAACATATAAACATATAAAACAAGAGTGGTAGAACAATTGTTTTCAGGAAACTCAAGAAAAAAGTATGAACCAAGAATTGTGTATTACTGTGTATTACTCAGATTTGTCTCTTCCTGCTGATGTGCCATTTGTCACTTTAGAGTTTTCTTCTAAACTCCTAATCCACCCCTGTAACCCCAGTGCTTGCCTGTCTCTTCTGTGTTTGCATCTGCAGGTGAAACACAAGCATCCCAAACTGTACAAGAGAGTCCACAGAGTATAAAATAGCAGAATATTTGTATTTTTCTCACATAAACAAAAAACTTGTTATTTTTAATAAACAGATTAACATAAATGTGTGTAATATATTAATAAGCAGAGCTCTATTAAGTATGTATGTAAAATATATTTTATTGGTCCAAAAGATAAATTCAGAATTTCATGTTCTGTCACCTGACTTTACAACCTTCTAACTAATCTCGGTTCTACCCCCTGTTCTCGTATCATGCTGTTATTTGTAGTTTCCTAAATGGATGTATGCCATTTGTCATACACCCATGCCTTTGCCAATTGTGTTTTCTTTATTCCTAAAGTTTATATTAGTCACTTTGACCAGCTAATAAAATCTAACATGATAATACAAAATGCAAATAACTGTCCCCATTTGTGACCATCTTTTATTGTGTGCATATTTTTTGTCATAGCACCTACTACGTACATTGCATTTTAAGCACTTATATCTTTGCCCCTGTGTCGAATGGAAGCTCCTTGATAACAGGAATACAGTCCTGTGCCATTTAGCAACAAGGATATGTTCTGACAAATGTGTCCTTAGGTGATGTCATCATCATGCAAACATCATAGAATATACAGTACTTACACCAACTTAAATAGTACACTTAGGCTATGTAGCCTCTTGCTCCTAGACTACAGACCTGTACAGCATGTTGTTGTACTGAATACTGTAGGCAGCTGTAACACAATCTAAACATAGAAAATATCTAAACATAGAAAAGTTAGAATAAAAATACAGTATTATAGGACTGCTGTCATATACGCAGTCAGTCATTGACCAAAATGTCATTATGCAGTGCATGACTACAGTTGCTTTTATCATCTTTGTATCTCCAGCAGAGTTCCAGGCATGGAGTGGTAGCTCAGTAGATATGTATTGAGCAGATATTTGACCTGTGTATACAGTAGGATACAGAGTAGCAGCATACCATTACTTTCCAGAGTAAACTCTACGTTGGTATGTTAAGAGTTCTCATGTGTCTGTTCAATGGTACTCCATTCTGGTTACTTCAGATTGAACTGAAATATGTTGTTCCAGGGACCAGTGACACTAAAGGATGTTACTGTGGAATTCACCAAGGAAGAATGGAAATTACTGACCCCTGCTCAGAGGACGCTGTACAAGGATGTGATGCTGGAAAACTATAGTCACCTGGTCTCAGTGGGTGAGAAAAACTTCCCCCTATGTAGCTCCCATTAGTTTGCATTTCCTTTCCCAGTTGCTGGAACATGTAAGGTCCTCTAGGGTGAAAGATAATAGGTTTGTTTCAGAGGTCAAAGTTAATGAATCCATTTTGGGCGGTAGGAAAAAATATTTGTGTCCCTACATCCCCACTGAAAGAATCTAAATTTGTCAAGCCTAAGTGGGACCTTTATTGTTCTCCTGAAACTACTTCTTTATCCTTCAGGGTCCCTAAATTCCAAGCAATTTGTATCATTTCCTTTATCTTTTCCATTAATAGGTTATCGTGTGAATAAGCCAAATGGAGTTTTCAAGTTGAAGCAAGGAAAAAAGCCATGGATATTAGAAGTAGAATTTCCACGTCGGAGCTTCCCTGGTGAGCTAGAAGAAATGATACTCCGTGTTACTGGTGAGGTGGTTGGTGCCTCTTGCCTTTTGAAATGGTTTTCAGGACTCTCTTTCTTAAGTATTGTTCTGGAAATGATTGAGGACATTTGATGTACATGTGTCAGAAACCTAAATCACACCTCCAATCTCTCCACTTAAATTCTCTTCTTTGCTTGACTTTTAAAAAATAGATTTACTTTTCTTTCCTATATACAAACTTTAATCCCTACATAACCTTGTCCGAGACTTTTATTTTGTCTTTTTCTGTAGAATTCTCAGTTACTCTCTGCCATTGGAGTATGCAACTATAATCTTAGTGTTTATAAATCTGACTTACAATTTTTTTTCAAATGATATCTCTCTTCTTTTACTAACAACAAAGTGCCTCAATTATTTTTGGCCCCAGTTTTAACTTCCTATTCCTTCTGTAAACTCTGAATGCAGATTATAAATCATTATACCACTCATCAGTTATTGGTATATCATTTCAGAATTGATACTTCCTTCTGTCTTGTGTTTATCTTTCACACAAAGTGCTGATTATCCCTCCTAAAATCTCCTGCACCTTATTTGGAGTGTTATAACACTAAGATAATCTCATCCTGCTTCCTTCATTGTTTTTCTTGTATTTTCTGACTTGTGCTCCGATGTGTTGCCAGGATCAGGAACAATGCTTGATATATATTACTTGCTCACTAGATATTTGTTGAAATGAATTTTGATTAACAAGAGACAGACACTATCTTTTGTTTTATACCCTTTATAGTAACTCCTGCAAAGGCTCGTCCATTCTTAAGCATTGGTTTTTATGCTAAGAAGTCCTAAAATCAACCTCTTCAGCATCCTTCTTGTATTTGTATTCTGGTCCCGTATTTTACCTTATTACAAAATAGTTCCACTGATTCTGCTTTCTTCCTTCTTAGAATCAAAAACAAATTATATTTTTTTGAGGCAGAGTCTCACTCTGTTACCCCAGGGAGGGTGCAGCAGTGTCATCATAGCTCAAACTCCTCAAACTCCTGGACTGAAGCGATCCTCCTGCCTCAGCCTCCCAAGTAGCTGGGACTACAGGCATGCGCCACCATGCCCAGCTAATTTTTTCTATTTTTGGTAGAGACAGGGTCTTGTCTTGCTCAGGCTGTTCTCGAACTCCTGAGCTCAGGTAATCCTCCCCGACGTGGCCTCCCAGGGTGCTAGGATTACAGGTGTGAGCCACTGCACCCAGCTTCAAAAACGAATTCTTAATTTAAATCTGGCAAACTTACATTGCCACTAGCCTGTCATGGTAAACTTATACTGACTCACTATTTCAATACACATGTAAATTAATTTTCTGTCAAGAACTAGTCTGGCCCTTTCTTGCCTACTGCCTCTTATTTCTCCTTATCGCCCCCAAACGCATGTTAATCTCCATTTTACCATACTGTTAAATATTTTCTATACATAGGATCTTATTTGGTATGTATTGAAGTTACACAAGTCCCTATCAAATGACTTTTCTTATGTGTTACCCACAAATGCTATGAAATTCCAACCCCAAGCCTCTGCTTATAGTCTTTCACTTGCTTCCAGGCATTTAAAGATGAATAAATATGAAGGTCAGTGAAGGTTCTAGAATGATGTTGAATAATCTGATATTTAAAGATCATGTAGTAAATTGGAAGTAGAGATGCAGGAACCCAGATATGAAAGCAGCACTCAAGGCTAGTGCTGGGTCTGAGTAATGCTGATTTGGAAGTGCAAGATTTGGTGCTCAGTCTAAGTTCAGGATTGAAAATCTCTGATGATGCAGCTGGGAATTCATCCTTGGATAGAAGGCTTGCCCTCTGCTTTTTAAAAAATCCTTCCTTTTGGATGTATGTGTTCCTGGGCCTTCCTGTCCAAGTGACAATTAAGCCAACTAGATGGAGAGAGAAAGCCCAAGCTATAGGACTATTCCCCTAAGTAGGAGGAAACTGATGTTCTGGGAAAATCACTTTAGTGGTGACATCAAGATTGTTGTAGATGGATAAAGAGGAAACAAAATAGAAGCTTATAGTTTGCTAACTACTAAGAATCCTAACACAGTAATCTAGGTTTGAGGGGATAAGGTCTATACTTCAGCTCCTTCATCCAATTTAATCTTTTCCCTGATATTTCCAATGAACACAGCTTTTTCTTATCGTACTTCCTGTTCATTGTTCTTAAGGGACTCACAGCTTCTCTATGATTCCTGCGTTTCCTTTCAGCAACACTTTGAATATATTTTTGTTCTCTGCTTCCTATTTTTTGCTTTTTATCTGAACTTTCTCCTCCAAGTTCTTAAGATTATATTTGTAAAAGTGTCAGAGTACCTGGGTTTATAACCAGGTTCCTTCCTCTGTCGGCTACAGTGTTTTCTAGTGTTTTTTATAGTTTTTTTATAAAACAATAGGAGAGAGGATATTTGCATCTGAGAGTTCTTTCATTTTGAGAGATTGGCCTGAAGCTAAGAATCAACCCTGTGACCATACTAATGTGTTAAGATTTATTAAGTATTAAATTTTGGATTCCTTTGTAGAAGACCTATGGAATATTCATGACGCAGGAGCAAGAAACCAGGAAAGCCAAGCTGGAAATTCAAGGCAAGTTCAAGAATTAATGTTTAAGATAGAAGCTTTGTAAAAAAGAGTCCTGTAGTGGTTACTGGAAATGGGAGAGCACTAGTTAATACTTATGTGAGAAAACTAACACTGGAGCGAATCCCAAAGAATATAATCCAAATGGGAATGCCATTTTTCATAGAGACCTTATTCAGGATTAGGAGATTCAAACTTTGAAGTCATCTTTTGACTTTTCTGAATTACATAATGAGGAAGGCTTTAGTACACAACATAGAACGCAGGCAGTTGAGAGACCCCGTGAATATAATGCAAGTAAGGTTCATTCTCTCAGATGTTAAACTACAAGTGTATGTCAGAGAATGCTCACAGTGGAGAAGCCCTGTGGACCTAAGGAACACGGGAACATCTCTAAAAATCAGCCCTCAGAGTTACTTGGAAAATACACACAGCAGGAAAAAAAAAAAGCCTTAAAAGTCTCATACATTAATGAATTTGGAACTTTTTATCTAGGAATGGAAAACTCACAAAACATCAGAAAACTCATACCGGAGAGAAAGCCTATGAGTGTAAGGAATGTGGAAAGTTCTTCTGCCAGAAGACTGCCCTCATAGTACATCAGCATAGTCATTCAAAGAACGAATCCTATGACTGTGACAAATGTGGGAAATCTTTCTCTAAAAATGAAGAACTCACAACACATCAGAAAAGTCATACCAGAGAGAAAACCTATGAGTGTAAAGAATGTAAGAAAATTTTCTACCACCTGTCATCTCTTAGTAGACATCTGAGAACCCATGCAGGGGAGAAACCCTATGGATGCGATCAGTGTGAGAAATCCTTCTACCAGAAGCCTCATCTCGTTGAACATCAGAAAACACACACAGGGGAGAAACCTTTTGAATGCACTGAATGTGGGAAGTTCTTCTATGTGAAGGCGTACCTCATGGTACACCAGAAAACACACACAGGGGAGAAACCCTTTGAGTGTAAGGAATGTGGGAAAGCCTTTTCCCAGAAGTCCCACCTCACAGTACATCAGAGAACACACACAGGGGAGAAACCCTATAAGTGTAAGGAATGTGGGAAATTGTTTTCTAGGAATTCACATCTCAAAACCCATCAGAGAACTCACACAGGAGAGAAACCCTACGAATGTAAGGAATGTGGAAAATGCTTCTACCAGAAGTCAGCCCTCACAGTACATCAGCGAACTCACACAGGGGAGAAACCCTTCGAATGTAATAAATGTGGGAAAAACTTTTACTATAAATCAGACCTCACTAAACATCAGAGAAAACACACAGGGGAGAAGCCCTATGAGTGTACAGAATGTGGTAAATCTTTCTCTGTGAATTCAGTCCTCAGATTACATCAAAGGACCCACACAGGAGAGAAACCCTATGAATGCAAGGAATGTGGGAAATCCTTTTCTCAGAAGTCACATTTTATCATACATCAGAGAAAACACACAGGGGAGAAACCCTACGAGTGTCAGGAGTGTGGGGAAACCTTTATCCAGAAGTCGCAACTCACTGCACATCAGAAGACACACGCAAAGAAGGGCAAAGCTGACAAGTAGTACGAGCTGAGAAATCCTTCTGTCGGAATTCATCCTTCAGAACAAGATGATTCACATGAGGGCAACCTTGTGAATACCGATAGGGAGCGATATTCATAAGGTTCATTCACAATAATACTGAGGTGTGAATTCCTAGAGGCATCAAAATGGTAAACTCCTTAGCCACAATCTTTCCTTACAGTGTATCAACAAATACACAGAAATTCTGTAAATTTATTAGGGAGAAATTTTTACCATATGGTAGACTTTACTAAATATCAGACAGCATAGATGGCAGAAATCATACAACTTGTAAAACGTGAGAGGAACCTTTCTGTCAGAAGTCATACTTTGTTTTATAACATAAAAATCACACAGAGAAATCCTGTTAGTAAAATAAATGTCAAGAAGTTTTCTGTCAGGGCAGCCAGCACTAGACATGCAAAATGTTGCATGAGTGAGCAACTCCTTTGAGTATCCTGAGTATTCGAAAATCTCTTACACAAGTGGGTTCTTATATCAGAGAATTTAGCAGGGATTACTACAAAGGTCCTGACAGACGTGGAAGCCTTTGTCAAGAAGTGATATTTCATTGACTGTCAGATCAATGGTACTTGGATAGATACTTTAAATATTTGAAAGATTTTTAACAAAAATTTGAACAAGAGAAACAATTATACTAGAAGACCTGTTGCAGATCTGATTTTAAGGTTTTTTTCCTTTAAAGGAATCCTTTAAATGTCTACATGTTTGAAGCTTTTAAAAAGCACAAATAAATTAAAAAATCAGGCAACATCATTAAACACACATGCCGAGTCCTTTAGTATGCAGGACTTTGTGAGCATGCTACAAAGCATACCTTGTGCGTGTTTGGCCTGTATGTGGAACCCATCCATAACTGTACATAGAGAAATATGTAACCTTAGTTCAATAACTACTCTGTGTATGAAGACGTGTCACATGAAGTCTCAGTAGTGACTTGTTAATATACGTATTGTAAGTGTAATATTCTTTTTAAATTATAATGTATCTTTTTATCCTATTTGTAAATGGGATGTAGACATTGTTACTAAACTAACACTTCAAAAAGAAGCTAAAATGTTTTTGTAAAATTTTCAACTGTCTCATGGTCAGCCAAATTTTGCCTTTATTTATAGCAAAAGCCTGAGCTGTTTTTAAAGCAGCTAAAAACAGTAATATTTATTACAGTCTACACAATGAAATAGAATAGTGCTATGTAAGAAATATTATTTATCATACTGTTGATGTTTTAGCAGGGTGCAGAGCTGTCTGTGTTTGTATTTTGTCTGGGAACCCTAAATGTTCTTCACTGCCTTGTCCTTCCCAGTAGAAGCAGCACGGCACAGCTGAGGGTGTGGACTCTGGACTCGCGCTGCCCAGGCCCAGCTTCCAGCATGGGGCATGCCACTTCCCCCCTCTGCACCGCACTTATTTTTCTGTAAGGGTAGTGATAGTAGCAACTCCTTAGGATTGCTCTGAGGTCTAAATGAATTAATATTTTTAAAGCACTTAGAACAGTGTCCGAGACACAAGAGCTATATGTGAGATATTATTATTATAATTTGTATTTCCTGAATTGTGCTGGGAAAAAAAAGTTGGCTACCGAAATTCATCCCCCACCATATTGCTGCTAATGCCTTGATTTGGTTTGGTAGTTCATTTTCCTGTAAGTGATTCAGGGGCAGGTCCTGAGGAGGCGAAGTCAGGGATTGGCAAAGTATAGCTGTCGGACAGATCTGGCCCACTGCCCATTTCTGTAGCCTGCAAGCTAAGAATGGTTTTATATTTCTAAATGGATGAAAAAAATCAAAGAATATTTTGTGACACATGAAAATTATACGATATTCACATTTCAGTGTCCATAAATAAAGTTTTGACAACACTAACACAAACAAAAACCATTTGTTTATGTTTTGCCTGTGGCTGTCTTCATACTACCCCTGCAGGGTTGAGTAGCTGTGGCCCACAGAGCATAAGGTACTTACTCTTTGGCACTTCACAAAATAAGTTTTTCTGTTACTTAGAGCTGCAAACATCACAACCAATGTAGAGATACACTTTGATAAATGTTATGTGTTTCAGAAATGATGCATACAGCAATTTATGGGTGGGTGGTTTTTGTTCAGCATATTTGTGTATTATATGTTAAAAGCCTAAGCTTAGAAGTATTTTTTCCCAAAGAAATGTCTTTTTTACTTGCTGAATTGTTATAACATCAAAATAAGATGTTTCCTGATGGACTGTAGCAGTAAATATATGAAATAAACATTGTCTAAATTAAATCAAATTCTTAATTGATTCCTCCCCACAGTATTCCTTTATTTTCTTCCAAGTCAATGGCCAGTTTTTGCTGTATCATCTAATAATTATATTATCCCATAAGATACCATCTTTATGTCATATTTAACTTACATAACCCAGTAACAAAAAACTTACAATACCAATTACACCAGCTACATTACTAGGAACCTAGAAAATTATTTTATTGCCTGCATTTCCTATAATTTTCAAATGCTGCTCCAACCTAAACCCTGCCAGCATCTTGCTTCCCCTTCCTAATACAGATTATTTTCACTGATGTTCAACTTCCTAAGCATGATTCCTCATTCTGATTTGTATTATGTTTAGCACTGATGAACACCTAATATGAAGATATTTAGTGATTAATTAAGGTATACTCTGTACTTACATGTTGTAACTTCTGAATACTCTATGGGAAAATATTGTTACCAATATCTCATTCTACTCTGCTCTGATGTGAGCAAGCCATCTTGAGAGAGGCTTATGGTAACATCTATCTACAGATAGGCCTTTAAGGTCGTTCTTTATTTCAGCCTGTGTGAAATAAAGAAATAAAACAAACTTTCTAAATTCCTCAGGCTTCTCAATCAAAAATTAAATAGAAATTAGTACTTTCTGGGGACAGCCCAATAACTGCCAAGGCAAATCTGTTAAAAAGAATAAAGCCTATACTTTCGAGAATACTTAAAAAAATACTCTAGCTGATGAGAATATTCCTATTCAAAAATTCAATGATGTTCTATTCTCCAAATTCAAACCTGAGACTATTTCTTGGCCATAGTTGCAAGCCATGAATTGGTCACACCAAAATTGGTGAGACAACTGATCAGACATTGATAGAAATTAATCGATCCCTCTTCAGCACACATGCTTGTGAAGGCCGCCCAATCTGGCACAGCGACACATTCTGAAAGGCAGTCGACAACAGCTTTCACACCAAGCATGCTTTGGGAAGTTAGCAGTTTCGGCCAGTGACCACACTTTTACAACTGAAAGAAAGCCAGTCCCTCAACACTCCTGCTTTGGAAAGCTGGCCATTCCCTGAATCCTCTATTTCCCAAAGCCTTGTATCATCTCATACTTTGACTGTGATTTACAAGTATGGTTCTTTGGTTAGTGTGACGGCCAGAGAAGCACTATCAACTCCTTCCCTCCTGCCACTCTGTTCACAACAGGGAGATTCTCTTTCCCATCCTTGAATATGGGCTGGCCTATGGCTTGCTTTGGCCTAGTAGGATATGGCAGAGGTTCTAGGCATACCCTTTAGAAGTGTGGCAGCTTCCACTTTCCTTCTTGAAGCTAACCATCACGCAAAAACTGGGACTAGTTTGTGGACATGCCACGAAGAAAGGCAAGCCACCTGTGGTGGACCCCATGGTACTAGGCATGTGAGTAAAACCTTCTTAGCCTCTCCTGCCCAGCCTCTCTGCTGGCTGAACATAGCTGCCCTGATCGGAGACTCCAGCCAATGCCAAGTGGAGCGGAAGAACCACCCAGTCTACACACAGAAGTAACAAATAAATCGTTGTTTTAAGTCATTAAGTTTTGGGCATTTTGAACTAAAACAGGAAGTAAGCAATAAAGCAAGCTTTTTTGAGAAACTGGATGGTTAGTCTCCTCTTTCACAATAATAGTTATGCAGTGTGAGTGGCCGTTAGAAGTTTGCAACCATTTAGAATGACAATTGTTTAATCTGGTTTCTAAAAAGGACGTACTCAAATATAAGAATTTGCCCCCATGAAAGAGAAGCAGTGTTGGTGAAATTAGATTGTCTTATACTGCATGGTGTCACCCAAAACTACGTCCAGACCTTGAAACTTATGTAGCAAAGAATACACCCAAATAACAGGAAAAACCTGTTCATATTTTTTTAAATAAGGATTTTATCCAAGAGACTCAACAGGTGATCACATCTTGCCTTACCTGTAAAGTTGAGACATGGCTTGGGACCCTCCCTCACAGAGCATTTAGACATTTATAAATGAATTCAATTCAACTACTTCAAGCATGAAACGTTTTCAGAATAGTTTATGTAAATTGTTTGGATTAAAACTTTCCCTTGTGAAAGAAGCAATATTTTGATTCAAGAGTGTTCTGACTTTTTTCCTACCTCGGGATTCATTTCCTAGTGAAATACTTAAACTATGACGATACTCTCATTAAAAATAAGTTTCATCATCCACATAACCCACAAAGCTCTGAGAAGATAAAACAAGTGAATTGCTTTAGATTCAAAATTTTCTCTGTGTTCTAAGAATGTAAATGTTGGACACGGTGTGGGAAAGTTGGTGTAGCCACAGGAGAAAATGAGAACACGGCTTGGTGGGAAGACGTTTATTACACTCACAGGCCCCAGAGAGGGGTCACCATGTGCCACACGGGGCCACAGCAAGCCACCAGTGTCAGTCAGGAGGCAGAAGCGGGATTGAGGGGAAGGCCTAGGCCATGCCCCTTATTGGGGTATCCAGGGAAAAGGCAAGGCAGGGTAGAACAAACAGTTTAGGATTGCTAGTGTGAATAATTCCAGCAGGCTTTGGGATTGGTCTCTAGTTATCTGATACCTGACCTTGGGATGATTTAGGGTAGGATAAACACTGGCTTGATGTGTGAGGATGAGATAAGGAGGTAAATGGGGTTGGGACTGTCGGTTTACAAATCAAAGATGTGCTCCAGGCTGAGCACTTTGCTATCCGTAGGAA